TGCTGGTGCAATAAGCTGTACGTTTCACGTCCAATGGATGCATGATCTGATAAATAATGAAAATAATCATTTGTGGCAGCCCTAGTTAGGACATATAGAAGGTTGGTGTGAGAGAAGAGGAGGATGCTAGAGATGGTGTGAAATGTAGGCAGATCCCCCGTGGCGATGCCTAAAGGGAGCTGCCGAAAGAAGAAGAAGATGATGATTTTAAATGACTGAGTTTATGCCACCTCTGTTTGCTCATCAAGGCTACATTAGCCACTACCACGTCAAGCAAACTTTCAGCTGTTGAGTAGCATTGTAGGTAATGTGGGTGCCTGAATATGACAGGAAGGAAGAATGAGTGGACTAAGAAAACCTCTGCAGTGCTGCTGCAGTCATTTTGAACCACACCAAATTAAAATTAAACATAGTAGAAGCAGTGTTTGGAGATTTTCAGCCACAGCTGGGTCTGATTTGTAATTTTAAAACTTAATCACGGCTCATTAAGATGCTGTTTGAGTTCCATTAATCAGTCGCCATGTGAGCTTCATTCATCTGATTTAAGAAACGCGTCTCTTCCCCTTTCATATCGGCTGGCCGTGTGCATAGGACACGTTGGCAAACTCGAGACTAATCAGCCTCGATTAGTCTTCCTGATCGTGACCGCCGCTGCATCAGCTTATTGCTCGTCTCCATGGCAACCGTCTCACAAGCTGTTCGCCCTCTTGTTGCAGGTGTTTGTGGAAACTGAGAAATGATCTTCTTGACCACCTGAACTAAGAAGTAACATTGACTGCAGATGGAGAATGGAGACCTGGGTCACATGGTGGGTAGTAACTGGTTTTAATTTTATAACACAATAGGATTTCTTTTTTAATATCCAGTATTTAAAAACATTGCCATCACATTAGCCAAAAATTACCATAAGAGAAAAGTAATGCTGTCAGTGATGAGGTGCATGACCAAAAGCTCAGGATATTATTTTTATTAGTATTTTTCATAAGAAGGCGTTTACTGGTTTATTGTGGCTCATTTGTCTGTCAGGACTATATAGAATATGAAACTCTTAACTGTTATCTGAATAAATAAATAACTAAAACTACAATAAATTAAGATAATCAAAATAATAAGTTAATCCACACAAACTCCAATTAGACTTTGTCTTTCAAACTTTGTAGCGCAAATTATTCTGTCAT